GGGGTACGTAGCCCTAGGTGTACCCTGGTTACATGAAGTGTGACACCTCACACTTCAGGTGCATGACACGTCATACTCCGAGATATTTGGTACAAGGTACCAAGGTCGTTCAAAGCCAACCATTGGTTAAATGACATTGCATTTCTATAGGTAACTAACAGTTTGTATTAAACCCAAACTTAATCTACCTATAAATATACTCAGTTTACAATCTACCTTATTTGGGTCACTTCGCTCTCTTTAACTAAAGAGGGGACCTGTGAACTGCCGTTCACTGAGAGTTTGTATACTCTCGGAAGATAAGTTCCTCTAGCGCAAGGTGCTGTGTGACCCCGTCACACTTGGTAGCACTAGTAGTCAATCCACGCCACCCCGGGTAGACTACCTGAACCTCTCCGAAGTTTGTTGCCATGGATAGGAACGACTTCTCCCATATGAACGACTCTCAGTTCGAGTCGGTTCGGAAGATGGCAGGCATCTTCGGGATGGAGGCCCTGCAGAGCCTGGTGGTGTCAACACCGGCTGAGCAGCTCGAGCGCGTCAATGCATTCGACGCGTACGAGCAGGGCCTCATCGCGCATGTGCGGAAGAACCTGCAGGCTCCGGCGGCGGAAGCATATCCGCCTCACCCGAAGCCAATACGGCTGAAGGTTAAGCCGTATGCAGGGAAGGAAGGCGAGAACCTTCACTTCTGGGTCCGAGAAGTAGAGCTCGCGATGGACGCGGCTCTGATCTCGACCGAGAAACTGCGTGTTGCTTTTGCACTCTCCAACCTTAGCGGCCGTGCTAAGAGTTGGGTGTACACACGGGAAGCAACATCCCCTGGATGTTTCACATCCTGGGCTCAGCTGTGCGAACAGCTCCGAGCCGCGTTCCTCCCGGCGAACTACGAGTACCGCCAGCGTTCGCGCTTCCTCGCGTGTAAACAAGGAAGGCGCAAACTGCTCGAGTATGTGCAAGAGATACGGGAGCTCACGGCGTACCTAGTGGGAAATCCACTCAACGAACACATCAAGATGCCTGTGTTCATGGACGGCCTCCGAGTGGGCCCCGCACGCACTCAGCTGTTCCGGGTGCAGTCAAGCACCCTTGAAGAGGCGATTCAAGTGGCTCTTCACAGCCATCGCCAGGCGCGTACGCCGGCCTCAGCGTGGCCTGGGAGTTCCTTGTCGGCCCCCGGTCGAACAAGCCCCAGCGGACCAGTTCCCATGGAACTTGGGTCCGCCGAACAGCGTGACATCCGCTGCTTCGGCTGTGGGAAGATGGGCCACTTCAAGCGCGACTGTCCCGCGGAAAGACTCCGCAGACGGTCCTTCCGCAAGCCCGTCCTCAAGGGTCGCTGGCAGAAGCCAGGATCCCGGGGACAGGGGAACGCAGGGAACCAGTAGGGGCGGGGCGCCCTACTTGGGAAAAACTAAGTCTTCGTAATGGGTGCGCGGGTGGCGCGTACCACGGGGACTTAGCCCCTGAGAGTCTTTGCACTCTCGAATCGGCGAAGAGCAGCGGCGGGTTGCTCGTAGTAGACGGATGTGTACGGGGATACGATCATCCCTTTAGAATCTTGATTGACTCTGGGGCGTCGAAGAATTTCGCACGCCGCCAGACGGTTGCTCGTAACAGCAACAAGTTGTCCGATGCTTTGAGAGAGAGCAAGGGCAACGGGACGGTGTCAGTGCGACTGGCCGACGGGAAGGTCGTCACTGTCCCCAACGTCCAAGTGGATCTGGCTGTCAAGTTTGAAGACTCTGACAGCCTCGAACAGTTCACTGTTCTCGATATGGATCCATATGATATGATCCTGGGCATGCCCTGGCTTGAGAAGCACGAGCCCTGGATCGACTGGCGAGGCAAGGCAATCGGTGCCAGCTGCCCTGCGCAGTCCGACAGAGCATTGGTGAGTCATGTTCCCATCTCTGTCAGGGCCCGGGGCGCCCGCAAGGGCTGTCAGGGCCCGGGGCGCCCGCAAGGGCTGCCAGGGTACCAAAGCATTCGGCAGTTGCTTGGGAGTCGTCGACGTATATGACGACTCCAAGGATGCTTTGATGGTGGCAGCGCCCAGAAGAGGCGCTGGTCAAGTGGGTAACTTAGGTCCACAGGCGGGTAACTTAGTTCCGCAGACAGCTGCAGCTGTCACGAACACTGAGAACAGCGTGTTCAGAGTGGGTAACATAGTTCCACTCACGGTCGCCCAGACCTTAACTGAAGAGGAAGACGTCGGATACGCTTCCTGTGTGGGTAACACAGTGCCACACGCGGTCGCCCAGACCTTAACTGAAGAGGAAGGCGTCAAACACGCTTCCTGTGTGGGTAACACAGTGCCACACGCGGTCGCCCAGACCTTAACTGAAGAGGAAGGCGTTGAACACGCTTCCTGTGTGGGTACCACGGTACCACACGAGGCCCCGATTGCCTCGGATGTCATAGCACCGACATCCCCAGACGTGGGCAGCAAAGCTCGGCGTCACGGCCGCCGTCGTCAACGACGCCGCCGCCTCAAGTCGGGTCCGAACTTCGTTCCGATCGACGTCGCTTCAAGCGACTCGGAGTCCAGGGCCCGGGCTCCTCCGACAAGGCCGGTGAAAGAGTGTTATCACATCTTCGATGGCGAGACCGGTTTACCCGTCAAGGCATCTGGTGTCCACTTGGAACCGTTGCCAGAGGTTGCAGAGATACTGCACCTCGAGGAAATGACGGCTGAGTCTTTCCTGACAAACCTCAAGGCTGGAGAGATTGCTGAGATGGTACTCATGAGACCTGAGACCACTCGGGAGGAGCTGAACGCCTCCTCTGTCTTGGACGAGAACGTCCTAGAAGACATGAACAAGCAGCGTCAGGCGCGCTTGGGCTCTGAGATTCTTAAGAACCCCAAGATCCGGTGTATCCTTTGGTGACGGAGTACGCGGACGTGGTGAACAAACACCCACCGACCCAACTCCCACCGTATCGAGGCGTACCGCACGAGATTGATCTCGTGCCCGGCACAAAGTATTGTGTCACGAGGCAATGGCCTCTCCCGCGCGAACAGTGCGAGGTCATTGATGCCTTCTTCGCCGCGAAAGCGAAGGCAGGCATGGTGCGGGGATCGAAATCCCCGCACTCGACGCCGACTTTCTGCGTTCGTAAGCCGAACGGAAAGTGGCGTCTGGTTCACGCTTATAACAAGCTGAACAACGCAACGGTGCCGGCCCAAACACCAATCCCACGAAAGGATGTAACATGGCCGGGAGCGTACTGTACAGTGCGCTGGATTTGGTAGACAGATACTACCAAATCCTGATGCGAGAGAGTGAAATCCCGCTCACCGCGGTAAGCACTCCAAGCGGCATGCTTTGGGAGTGGCTCGTCATGCCGCAGGGCTTGTCTAACGCCCCGGCGACGTTCAATCGCCTGGTGACGCAATTGTTCCGCCCTTTGCGTACCTTCGTACAGACGTACTTCGACGACATATTCGTCCATAGCCGTGCCGAGGGAGGCAAGACGGCCATGGAGGTGCATCTAGGACACCTCCGTCGAGTAATGCGAGAGAACAAGCTCTACGCCAACATCGACAAGTGCGTTTTCGCGTCACCAAAGATTAAAGTTCTCGGTTGCTTCGTAAGCAACGTGGGCGTTCGGGCTGACCCAGACAAGGTCAAGGCCATAGCAGCATGGCCGACGCCCCGATCCCAGAAGGATCTTCGAAAGTGGTTGGGCTTGGCCGACTACCTTCACAAGTACAGCGCAGGGTACGCGGGCTTCGCTAAGCCCTTGTCGAGCCTCCTTCAGAAGGACGTCGACTGGCGCTGGGAGCAGGAGCACCAGGATGCTTTTGACAGCATCAAGGCCAGTCTCCAAGAGGCCCCTGTCCTGGCCCTGCCGAACGAGACGAAGCCGTTTAGCGTCGTCTGCGATTACGCAATCGGATGTGCACTGCTACAAGCCGACACGGCTGGACACGAGCGAGTCATCTCGCTCCAGTCCAGGCAGCTTAAAGCCGCCGAACGGAACTACCCTGTCCACGACAAGGAGCTCCTGGTAATGAAATATGCCCTTGTGAAGTTTCGTGTTCACCTTCTGGGCTCTCGGCCTTTTGTGATCTACACAGACCACGCGTCCTTGAGGACGGCGACTAACTCGCCTCACCTCTCCCAAAGGATGGCGAGGTGGCTGTCCTTCTTCGCGGAATACAACTTCCGCGTCGAATACAAGCCGGGCAAGCTCAACGTGCTTGCGGACGCCCTCTCTCGGCGTCCTGACTATGAGTTGGCCCACATCACGCGGGTGACAACGGATCTATATGATCGGATACGCATGGCGTATCGGGACGATGAGGCTGTCGCGCCTATCGTCAAGTTCCTGATGGCCGGAACAAGCGCGAAGTCCGACTGGCTCTCGTCGCGACAGCGCTCACGGCTCCACCGATATGAGTTGAAGGAGGGCCTCCTCTATTACCAAGTGGAGCTCACTGATCCCCCACGGGTGGTCGGAGGGCCGTCCTATCTACTAAAGTTTTGGGATGCAGCACTAAAAGATAGAACACAGCACAAAAATAATCTTAATTGGCACTTTAAAACATACAAGTCTCACTAACTCAAAAATAGAGGAGCTCCACTATTTGCAGGGCACGCCCACTAAAAGTAGGAGAATGACAACTATCTCATGCGAATTTTGAAACTCCTGAGCTCTTTTAATTGAACTATGTTTGTGAGCACTTTGCCAACCGAACTCGGTCCACTGGGGTACTACTTGGACTTGTTTGGTCTGAACACGGAGAAATCCTGGGTCACTTACGGTATTATTTACAGGGCTGCTATCTACGTGGTGTTCATGATCTTGTCGGGTCTTGCACTTGAATTCCTCCGCTACGAGACCCCCGAAAATTTCGACGTGTCCGATAAGCCCATCAAGGACAAACCTACACGAGGATGGAGACGCCCAAGAACAACATATCAGCGGCGACGGAGGACTGCGTTGTGGGCTTTCAGTCGACCGCTCAGGAGAAGAACTTCGTGCCAGTGACCATGGCTATACAAGACCTTCACTACTTCGTGCTGGATCCCCACAACCCCAAGGAATCTCTCGAGCTGCTAAAGAAGACCAACGGGTTTGCTGTGCCCGGGTCCATCACGGCTCTCATGGGCCGTCGGGTGCAGACAAGACGACGCTAATGGACGTGATTGCAGGACGTAAGACTGGCGGGAAGATCACCGGCAGAATCCTGTTAAACGGCTACGAAGCGAACGACCTCGCCATCCGTCGGTGCACGGGCTACTGTGAGCAGATGGACGTGCGCTCGAAGGCTGGTACGATCCGCGAGGCGTTGACGTTCAGCTCGTTCCTCCGCCAGGATGCCTCGATCTCGGACGACAAGAAGTACGACTCGGTCAACGAGTATATTGGGCTCTTGGGTTTGGAGGACATCGCGGACCAGATCATCCGCGGCAGCTCAGTCGAGCAGATGAAGTGCTTGACTATCGGCGTGGAGCTCGCTGCTCAGCTGAGTATCATCTTCCTGGACGAGCCTACCAGTGGACTGGACGCTCGATCGGCGAAGCTCATTATGGACGGTGTTCGGAAGGTGGCGGACTCGGGACGTACCATCATTTGCACGATCCACCAGCTGTCAGCCGAAGTGTTCTACTTGTTTGATAGTCTGCTGCTGCTGAAGCGTGGAGGCGAGACGGTGTTCTACGGAGGCTTGGGCCGCGATTGCTGTAGCTTGATCGAGTACTTCGACGGTATACCGGGGGTGTCTTCCCTCCCTCTTGGCTACAATCCCGCGACGTGGATGCTGGAATGTATTGGCGCCGGTGTGAACAACGCGGCGGGTAACCAGACGACTTCGTGAACTACTTCAACGGCAGTGCACTGGGTGAGGCTCTGCACAACAACCTCGCCAATGAAGGCATCACCACGCCCTCCTCGGACCTACCAGAGATGATCTTCGCCGACAAACGTGCAGACAACTCGGCGACGCAGATAAAGTTTGTCGTGACCCGATTCATCCAGATGTACTGGCGAACTCCGAGCTACAACCTCACGCGCATGATCCTCGCTGTGCCCCTCGCACTGGTCATCGGTCATGTGTTTATCGACGCTGACTACGCGTCGTACACGGGTCTCAACTCGGGTGTTGGAATGGTCTACATGGGTGCTCTCTTTTTAGCGATGATGGCGCTCCAGAGTATTCTGCGGCTTGCCTGCTCCGAGCGAGCGTAGTACGACCGGGAACGCGCGTCACAGACGTACAATGCGCTGTGTTACTTTGTGGGCTCGACCGTGGCTGAGATTCCCTACTGCTTCTGCAGTGGCTTGCTCTTCACGGTTGTGTTCTACCCCATGGTAGGCTTCACAGGCTTCTGGACTGGCGTCGTGCTCTGACTGACGATCTCGCTGCTGGTTCTCATGCAAGTGTACCAAGGAACGGTGTTTTTCTGCTTGTTGCCGTCCGAGGAAACCGCGTCAATCTTCGGACTACTTTTCAATACCGTCACGATGATGGGGGATGGGCAACAGTCCTCCGGCCTACTTGATCCCGTCCGGTTTCTCTTGTCACACACTCTTACGACGAACAGAGTGGCAATGAAGTCGGCGATACGGTTGGGGAACTCATCGAGGAGAGGCATACCGAGCCAGAACCACTGACTGCGGTACACGTTCCAGGTGGCCAGAAAGTTTGTGGGAAGGCGTCCACGATCATGACGCCGAACTGACACACGACCCACGTGCTTTGGATCGGACTGGAACCAGACACGAAAACCAGCGAAAAGATATGGCAAAGGAGCGGAAGGCGATCACCTGGAACATGACGCGGTGCTGCACCAGGTCGTACGTACAGGTAGACGAATAACGTGTCCATGGCCATCCAGGCATTGATCTTCTGTTTCTGTAGAGCGTCGTCCTTGTTATCCAGCACGTTCTCGAGGTATAGGCCGGCGGCTTGAAAAGTACTGCGTAGAACGAGTGATAGAGGCTAATTAGAACCTTGCTGGATCTTACGCTATTTGTTTTAGTATTTTTGTTATTGCTTCATGGTTTGCTATTTTGACTGGCCTAATCGTTTTCGTTTTTTAAGGACTACAAGCAGTACGTACCTGTAGAGAGCCACTTCAATAAGATAAGCATTATAAGTCGAATGAGCTCTTTCAGAACCGTTCTCGTCGTAATGCTGGATGCATGGCCTTAGTTTTTTGCTCCGCTCGATTGGTGCCTAGCTCCCTTTTATAGTGCTAGAATATCAAGTTGACAGTTACACGAAGAAAATAAAAAGTTGGTGATGACTCCTGTTTTATAAGTGGCAGTGCACCACTGATAAGTGCGTAAACTCAACTTACAGTTTAAATATTCACTTTTGTAGTTTTTCTCTCGTCTCCTCGGGTGGTCGTACCCAACGACGAGGATCTGAAGTTCGATATCCTCGCGGAGGCGCATAACGCGCCCTCCAGCGGCCACTTAGGCCGCGAGAAGACCTTTCGGTCGGTCTCTCAGTCCTTCTGGCGGACCCACATGTACAAGTGGGTCGCCCGGTACGTCAAGACATGTGAAACATGTCAGCGGGTCAAACCCGCAGGGCACTCTTCGGCTCCACTACAGAGCCTGCCGGTACCGGCTGACTGTTGGAAGTCGATGAGTCTTGACTTCATCTTTGGGCTTCCCGCCGACGGACACGGCAACACCGGAATTTTGGTGTTCGTGTGTCGGCTGAGCAAGATGGTACATCTTGCTCCAGTTCCCGTCACTGTTACGGGCGAACAAACCGCAAGGTTGTTCGTCGATGGCGTGTTCCGCTATCACGGTCTCCCGGAGACGATTGTCTCGGACCGTGACCCGCGGTTCACGGCTGTGTTTTAAAAACGCTGTTCCCTTTACTGGGAACTCGTCTGCAGATGTCCACTGCGGATCATCCGCAGACAGACGGCCAACCAGAGCGCGTCAATCGAGTGCTCGAGGACACTCTGCGCAGTGTGTGTGCGGCAGCACCACGTACGTGGTCGATGCAGCCTCCAGTTGTTGAGTTTGCGCTCAACAACGCGGTGCACGCGTCCACGGGGTTCGCGCCGTTCTACTTGAACGGCTTCCGCCACCCCAGAGTGCATCTCACTCTTCGAGGAGACACTGACTCCTCTATTCTAAATGGGGGAGAGGCTCGGAAAGCCCTTTTCTCCCAGGTCTCCGATGTGAGACCAGTTTCGCTGCGGAAACAGGTGGAATTCGTTATGGATACCAAGCTGAACATTGTCAGCAGGGTCCGCGATGCCATGACAGCGGCCCAAGATAAACAAAAGGAGTACTCAGACAAACATGGAAGAGGAAACTTAAATATATTTGAGGTTGGAGACTTAGCGTTGCTAGACACGAGGAACCTACCTCTTGACACTGTCAGCTCTGGCGGCAGCAACAAGCTGAAGCACCGCTTCATCGGATCTTTTGCAGTCCTGGCCAGACATGGTGCGTCGTACACCATCGACCTTCCAAAGTCAATGACGACGCACCCGACGTTCTATGTCGGACGTCTTAAGCGGTACTTTGACCCGCAGGGGGTTGCTGACTCGCAGACCCCCCTTGACTCAGCTCCTCGAAGCGAGGGCCGGTCACAGTCGTCGACGAGGACGCCAGAGCAGGCACCCAAGCCTCGGTCGGGACGGCAAGGCTGCTGTCAAGACCGTACGCCGGAGGGGCTCCATACGAACGGACCCCGGCGCCATACGCCGAGTACGCTGAGTACGCCGGGTACGCACCATACGCGTACGTCTGGGAGTGTGCCACAGGCGGCTCCGGACGTGGCAACAAAGCCTCGATCCGTCGGATCATGCGAAAGGCCTCGTCCAGATCGGACGAAGAGGCCCGGCGATCCACCCGCAGGTGAAGGCTCGCGACCTCTCGTTCCACCAGGTCCAGGCGGCCCGCAAGGCGAGCGAGCTCGCCCTGATTCCCGGCCTGGGCGGCAGCATTACCGCCAGTCCCAAGGCCAAGTGCAATCTCAAGCACGAGGACACGTTGACGGAGGCGGTCAACCTCAGGGACCTGTGTCGGACCCGCAGTCGGAGCACTCGGACGAGAGTGGCTCTCGGGAGGCGCCGAGTACTCGTACTCGTACGAGGGCACCTCCGCCCCTGCTTGACCGGAATGGAGAGGTCCACTTCCACGTGGAGCGGATCCTTCAGGAGCAACGGCGTCGCGGTAAGCGACAGCTCCTCGTGAAGTGGAGAGGTTATGCCCACTCCGAGAGCTCGTGGGAGCCGATTGAACGGCTCCTGATTGACTGCCCGAAGGCTGTCGCAATCTGGGAACAGAAGCGGCGGCAGCTTCATAAGTAGTCCGGGGCTTCTTGCCCGAACGGGGTACGGACGATGAATACATTCCGTACCCGCGCTCATCGTGAGCGCTAGAAGCCGCGCGCTTCAGGATGTCCCTTGGTAGCATACGCTTGCTGATCAAGTGGACAAACCTCACACGAAGATCACGCTGGTCCAGGATGCGGGACAGCAGCTGATCTTCATGGAGTTCCCGTAACTCCGTGGGTGAGTACTTAAGACTCTCCACTCACACCCAGAACATGTCCTCACAAGAACTCCACGTGGGACAGTTCTCGGGCATAACCCAGGAGTATCCCCAAAGAGGATAGAGACCACCCCGGGTCTCGGGCTTCTTACGACAAGTCGTGAAGTCCTTAAGAAGAATGCGGTGTGGCACGAGAAGCACACACCGAGCAGCCTCCATGTTGTCGACGAACAACTGTTCTTTCTGAACAAGGGCTCGTTCATAGATGCCCCTAGAAGTGTCACCGCCCACAAGGCCACGAGGAGCGACGAGAAGCTCTCGGAAGAGGTCAGCCCCAGAGCTCTCCTCGGGAGGCCAATACCCTCTTGAGTTAATGGCAGCTCCCTGGCTGACGGGTGCCGCCTCCGAACCCCCACGCACACGCTGGGCAGCTTGGAACTCCTCCTGCTGCTGGTCGAGGTCATTCGAGACCTCCTGGGGCTCAACGATAGCACCCTCCTCTTCCTCTTCTTCCTCCTTCTCCTCCTCTTCATCCGAGGAGTCGAAGATACTCCGATAGGAGCGACGAGTCTCTTTCTCCTCGCGAAGTGGAGACTTAGAGGCGGTACGCTTCTTTGAGGGCTTGGCGCCTTCGGCTTTAGAGGCCTTAGCACGCGCAAGACCCTCGGCAAGCGAGAGACGTTTGCGAGGATTCTCTTCCTCATCGCCACCGGCTTTGGGAGCGCCCTTAGCCTTGACAACCGGACTCTCAGAGCGCACAGAGGTCCTGGGACTGTGATCCCCTTGATCACTAGCGAGCGACTGCACGCTGTCATCTTTGTGCTCACTGGGCACTGGGCTGTGCCCTCCCACAGAGTCCGCAGGAGCATCGTGAGTGCTCTCGGACTCGGCATCGTCCTCACTGCCCAAGTTGAACTCACGTTCCACGAACCGAGGGTTCGGACGATTGTCTGAAGATGAGGGCGACGGGCTGCGGCGCTTGCACCCGAGGAACCGATCGCCTCGGAGGCCACCTGAGTAGCCTCCTTGAGTGCAGAGCCTTTGCCGTGAGGCTTAGTGCTCTTGGCTTGCGCCTTACCGGCAGCAGCCTTGGAGCGTGTCTTAGCACCGCTCTTTGCAGTGCCACGAGGCATGATAACGGTCGAAGTGGAGACCTAGACGAAGAGCGCACAGGTTGCTGCTCGAGGCTCTAACTGTGAAGTGAGCCTCCGCCGCGCTCGCGCGGCCAAGTCGATGGTTTTCGACTTTGAGAATGAGAGTTTGTGACGAACACCTCTTCATTTTGATTGGTCGGTAAACCGAACCTAAGTGGGGGAGGATGTAACGGGGTACGTAGCCCTAAGTGTACCCTGGTTACATGAAGTGTGACACTTCACACTTCAGGAGCATACTCCGGGATATTTGGTACAAGGTACCAAGGTCGTTCAAAGCCAACCATTGGTTAAATGACATTGCATTTCTATAGGTAACAAATAGTTTGTATTAAACCCAAACTTAACCTACCTATAAATATACTCAGTTTACAATCTACCTTATTTAGGTCACTTCGCTCTCTTTAACGAAAGAGGGGACCAGTGAACTGCCGTTCACTGAGAGTTTGTATGCTCTCGGAAGATAACTTCCTCTAGCGCAAGGTGCTGTGTGACCCCGTCACACTGTCACTCTCACAATTCCATCCCCCCTCACAGTAATACGTCAGCTAGTCGACCGTTAACGAGATCTGGTTGGTGGATATAAACAGATTACGCAATCTTTGAAAAATATAAAATAGGTCTCTTACCTTTGTTGAGCTTGTGCTCTCATCACGGAAGACGGAGACGAGATGAGAGCACAAACTTAACAAAATGTAACTAAAACATTAGGTTTATATTATATATCTGAGACGGCGATTCCTTCGGTTCATTTTGTATTGAGCTGCTAAGTTTGTCATATTGATACTGGGAATTCCAAAAAATGAGGGATGGACAGCCCCCAATTAACGTCACGACACTTGCTTAAGCGTAACCTGGGCTAACATTCGCTCAACATTTAAAGAGACGCACGGTACCACAGTACAGGTCAGCAGTACACTTTGCAGGTGACCGTAAGTATTAAACATGCAGGATCTTTAGCACAGTTAGTTTAGCTTGCCGGTACAGTGTGTTAGGCCAAGATATACATGCAATAAGAAACAAGAAAACGCAACCTCTATTGGGCTCTACAAGTGCGAATGAATCGCACGATCCTAAAAAATATAAAAGTTTATGTGATAGGATGGTTTTTACGACTTCGTCATGCCAAGATCAAGTTTTCTACAATGACCGCTGGTCAACGCTTTTTTCTGATCAACGCTTTTTGACTGCTGATCCTTCGCGGAAAACAGCTTCTACAGTAATATATTATAAGGCATTTGATGTTATTCTAAAACATAGGTATAACATCTAAAGACGTTAAGACTCAGCATCGTAGTCGAACACGGCAATATAATACAGTGTTTTTTTTTCGCTCAGGTGAAGTTGAAACCTCTCCTACCTGATGTGACCGGTAGTTTTACACATGTAGATTACATTGTAATCTTCTCGGCAAACCTCTTTATGACGCTATTTGGTACCCTTGATTTTCCTACTGAGAATGTTTCCTGTTGTATCAATCGGAGTTTGACCTTACAGTCAAGAATAAGTCTTCTCGGAGTCTTCTGCAAACTATGGCGAGTTACTATGTGTTGTGTTGTCACAGTAAATATATGTTCGCTAAGCCATACACTTGTTGATCACTGAGCGTTGGCTTGGCATCGCTTTCAAAATAAAGTCTCGCCAAACAGTCTGGGCCTTTTCCAACTGCAGCTTAGATATAATGGCGGAATACTTGGTGACCGCTTGACGTAACCGAAAGCGTCCCATGACTTCAGAGGTACAATCTAGCCAAAGGACAGTTTGTACATCATGCTGGGGTTCTTAGTGTCGAACATGTTCATGTACCGATGACCGCAGTCATCGGTCGTATGAAAGTGAATATGACGAAACCGAAACTGTATAGAAGCTCACAGCTCCAAATACTTGATATGCGTAAGAACAAGGCAGGTATGTGGCCACATTTGTGCCTTACATCAAAAGAATTTATATTACGTAATAAGAATAGCGTTTGTTAGCCGCTTCTGTGGAATAGATTATGAGGTAGTTCCCCTCATCGACAGTAGCTTGATGTAACGATTGATCATTCATCAAAGGTAGGCACACCATCAAGCATGCGCTTTAGTTCGTCTGGTGTCCTTTTCGCATCTCGCCAATTGTGGATTAAAGCACTCTGTAGATCAGTGGCGAGTTCCTCCGTGCTGGAATCTTCCTTCGCCCTCTTAAGCGTCCGGTGTAGTTGCCTGTCGTTGTAGTTAGCTCTGAGGCCGTCTATCACTGTCGTCGTATCTTCAGGATATCGTTCGTTGAAATTTTTCAGATACTTTACCCACGTGTTGAATTTTGGGTTGGCGAGCGTTTTTTCACCAGCTTTGTCGAGATACAGGAAACGGAAGGCTAGATCTGGAGCCTTCTTACTATCAAGCCAGTAGTTGTGAAATGCATCCTCCACTTTTTCAGCCATTCCTCTTGTGCTGGGATTTTGTGTTCCCGTCTCGATAATTATTTCCACCCCACTCCATGCGTAATTAACACGGAGAGTGGTAAACCACGATTCCTGATGGTTCGGGTGCTCTTTGTTGAAAATTTTCAGATACGTCATCCACATGTTGAACAGCGTGTCGGCGAGTATATCATCTCCAACATTGTCAAGTGCCAGCAGCTTGAATATTTCACCGGGTGGTTTTCCGCTCTCAAAAACAGTCGAAGCTTTCTCCAGCTGTAGTCTGGTTGCAGTATTTTTCGTGTTGGGGAGCTTTTTGGCTCGTTCAAGGACCCGAAAGAAACGCTTGTCCTCGAAGGTATCACCTAGCTCCAAGAACATTTTGTCCACCTTGCTGGGGTTCCTTGTGACGAACACATTCATGTACGAAACCCAGGTACTGAGTAGCGGATCGTAGAAGAAGGAGCTATCCCGATAATGATGCTGTAGCTTGTTGTAGACGTCGATAGGGGACTCTCTGAGGCTCATCCACATATCGAACTGCTCAGCCTGCAGCTGGGCTGCACGTTTTTCTGTCGCACCTTTCGCGCTTGCATCGATAAGCACGTTGACCAAATTTGCATCACCATATTTCCTCGTCAGCACTTCTATCGTTGTGGCCTTCTTTTCAGGATATCTGGAATTGTAAGCATTCAAGTACCGTTCCCATTCTTTCCATCGTTGACTCCCCATGAAAGCTTGAGTTCTACTCTCATATTTGAGCACACACAAGATCTTGTCCGGTGTTTCGCGACTGTTAATCCAAAGGCTAAACAGCTCATTCCCCACCTGCTTGGCGAAAGCTTGGCTGTTATAGGTTGCTTTCCCACTTTCAATCATTTTCAGGAGCTTCTCTGTGCCATCGCGGCCTCTTCGGCCTAGATGCTGTGTCAGCGTAGGAATAATGGACACTGGGGCTGCCTCGGGGTGTTTTGCGTTTACGTCGTCTACGTACTTGAGCCAAACGGAGAATTCTGGTTTTGTGAAGATGGATGCCCCTACCCAGTTAAAATGAAGCAGATCAAAGAACACCGACGGGTCCTTTCGAACGGCTACCCAGTAGCGCAACTGGTCCTCTTAGAGTCGTAAGGCAAGCTCTCTCAAGTTTGGATAGTCTTTTGCTGCTTGAATCATCTCATAAAGAGCTTCGTCGTCGAATTTTGTTGCCAGGGTGGAGATAGCTGAATCTTGTTTATGAGATGACTTGGCACTCAAGTCGTCAGCATACTGGACCCACTTAGCAAACTTGGGGTCGTGAAACAGAGAGAAGGCGTTTTCTCTGTCAAGTTTCATGTTCCTGAACACTGTTTCCGCAGGTAATCCCGTGTCTAGCCAATGCTGAAGCCTTTCTGGAGTTACCTTTGAGGACTTGAACAGCGTCTTAAAGTGTTCCAAGATCGGCGCTCTCTCCTCGTCGACGATATCAACAGCATCAGTATAGCGCAAAAGCTTGGTGCTTGAGTTCTGTTTCGGCGGATGAAAGCCAGCCCTACCTCGGAGATCTTTCGCAGCTGAAGCATCAGATGATAGGATGGAGACGGTGAAAGCTACGGCTGTCAGATACATGATATGCATTCGGACGCAAATATAAGACTGAACATACTTTACGTGAAGCCCTGTTGAAAATCACTACTGATACTTATCCGATTTGACCTGTCCATTGGTATTCGTAAACGATGTGAACTTGCAATTAAGGACTGGCTCTCATTTTATCTAACTTGAAACGGCTGTTTGTCTTGTAAAACGCAAGCTCGATACTAGCGAAAGGTCAGCGAAAGCTGTAAATATTTATAATATAACACTAGTTATGCTGAAGCTTTTACATATATCAACATCTTTAATAGAATAGACAGGTTGGATAGGACACCTTGATTAACGTAAGCTCAAGGTGAAATTTGGAACGGTAGTTTTCACAAAACGGGCGCTCAAATTCGGAAAGAAAAATATGATCTGTCGGATCTTATCACCATAATTAGCCAAGGTCAGGCCATTAAGGACGAGAAAATTGTAAAGTAGTGGAACTTTTGTTATCGTCTAGAACACTCGAACGCGGCACTTCATCCGCAAATGGCTTCATATTAATCACAGCCTAAAAAAGTAACATAGCTACGCGATTACTAGAAATGGGTCACGGAAACAATGGAATACATGCAATTCTCCATGTTATACGCTTAGGATTTAACATATATTAAATAATGTGTCACCAACTGATTACGTGACAGTAATCACTACATGCGTGACCATGCGCATGGGCGATGTGGGGATGCTACGAACCACGCAACGTAGTATTACCACATCGCCCATGTCCCAAGCGAAGTTTTGTTCTAAGCGAACTTCGATTATGACCAATGGCAGCGCTTTATAAAAAACGATGATGTTGCACGTTAGTGCGTCCTTCCGCGGACTAATTATACACTGTAGGGGGTTGATAAAGAGGCGATCTTCTGCAAACTAGGGCGAGTTACTCTGTGTTGTGTTGTCACAGTAAATATCTGCTCGCTAGCCATACACTTGTTGATCTCTGAGTTGATGAGTATACGTTGGCTTGGCATCGCTTTAATAATAAAGTCTCGCCAATTAGTCTGGGCCCTTTCCAGCTGCACCTTAGATATAACGTCGGAATACTTGGTGACGTAACCGAAAGCGTCCAATGACTTTAGAGGTACAATCTAGTCAAAGGACAGTTTGTATAGCATGCTGGGGTTCTTAGTGTCGAACATGTTCATGTACCGATGACCGCAGTCATCGGTCGTAGGAAAGTGAATCTGACGAAACCGATACTGTAATAGAAGCTCACAGCTCCAAAGACTTGATATGCGTAAGAACAAGACAGCTATGTGGGCACCCACTTAAGTGTGTCCGTTCCTGTATACATTTGGTATACGCGCACTAAGCGACGATGATAGGAGGGCACTAGGGACGGTTTGTAGAAGACATGAGGATATGCTAGTACTTCCAACTGAATCAATTTCGCTGTCAAGTTTTCGGTGATCGCCTCACATCGACTACAAGCCTCGTTCGCATCGTCCTCCATTCTCAATTGAAAGTTAAATGTTATGTAAGGAAATTGGAAGAAAAATTGCTTTTAAAATATCTGTCCTATGTGTTTTTATATTCCTTCTTATCATTTGGGTTGTACAGCAGCACCTCGGCCACTTCCTATCGTAGAAGAGTATTTTAAAACTGAGAGATAATTTAACTATTCAAGTTATTTTTGCAAAGCATAATAGGTGAGTATTTTTTTGGTACTTGAGCGTATGCCCACTCACCTAGTTGCGTTTTGCAAAACTTACTTTAATCTACTTGAATAGTTTAACTTTACGTGAAACGAACGCCCATGTTCGGTACCATTTTAAGCAAATCTCATAACTAGTGCTAAAATGGAAAAAAAATACCCCAAGCTGATCCAGTTATTTTTTTCGTTGTAAATGACCTGCCTCCATTAACTCCAAAGTGACCCACCGGTGAGAGCTATTAATCGCATTTCGTTCGAATAGCTCTTCATATATTTGTACGCTGTACGGACACGCTTGGGTGAGATGGACACACCTGTTTAAAAATATGCATATAAACCGTAAACTGGGGCGGACACACCTAGGAGGGATGGACGCACTCTTATACAATGTACAAGTCACATGTCACGATTGTCCTCCCGTAGCAGATCCCGTGATCGACAAAATTGAAGTTGGCGACAAATCACAAGTCGGGATACCACATAATATGCCAATCAGGTCGCATTTTCCTCTCACTTCAACTGGAGTACGCATTCGGCACGCGCATGCCACGTGTCAAGCGGTATGCATCTAGACGAGTAGACAGCGAAGTGCGACCATAACACCCTTCAACCAAAATACCAAGATCCTTTGAAGAATATTGGTGCTTTAAAGATTCTTTACTCCCGCTCCTCCATTGTCATATTTTAACAACTAGCTAGATAGTAAGCTGTCTTTCTTTCTTTTTGTTCGTTAATTAGGGGTGGTATTCCAAATTGTGAGACCCTCTATTTAAAGTTTTGATAAAATAATCCCGGCGGCTATCCTTATGTCGGACAATAAGATACTGACTTGATTTAAATAAATGAGTTTGGCCCATACTGAATCGATTTTTTTTCAGAGGTCAATTTGTAAAAAGACGAGCCGATGCACATGTGTAGGTGTGATTCCTGGAAAAGAAGAAGGCAGGAGGACCGATCATAGGCACAAAAACTCAAATGTGTGGCTCCTGATCGCCTTCACTTTCATTTAAAACACTTATACCAAGTGCGCCAATCGTAGCTACAGCGGGGAAGGCTTCCGTACGCAGGATGACACGGGGGGGGGACGCAAGATCACGGATTTGAGGTGGCGTAACTGACGACTGTGGCACCGGATGAAGGTACGTAACGACCGCTTAGATGCAGCGCGGCTGCCGTAGCTTTTCGTCAGGAGAAGACGTTCGACTCAAAGAGCCACTAATACTAAGTTCCTTATCCAAAGAAACTTACAGCCCACGATTAGGGCTCAAAGTTAATACCTTAATTTTACGCTTCAAAACCAGAAGTGTTTAATTTACTATTATTGCGGTCAAGCCGCCTAGGGGTAAAATAATCTATTCAACTATCTAGCATAGTTAAATCCAATCAAATGCATAACGTGTTGCTTTCAGCCAACGTACTGAGACCTTGTTAAATCTGCCACTTAGGTACTGAAAGTTTGTGAGCTCTCCGGGTACTTCGTACCCCTGTGTGTTCCACACCATGTAACCCTGTTACACGCTTCCTCACTAAGATGAGAACATTCCGTTCTCGAAACTTTCCTGAGCGAGGTCACGTCTTGTCAAGACGGCGGAGGTTGCTACACCTCACACCAGCGTTGTACAGCTCCGCGAGGTCACAAACGCCTACGCATCCTTGATGTCCGGCTTCTCGTCGTCGGCCCACGGCCCAATGCTCCAAGTGCACCGCGCATCTTGTTCGTAAGCTGTCTCAGACCTAAGCTCGCGCTCCGCGCCTACTCCAAGACCTGCAAACCACTTAGAGCTTTGTTCTTGACTCATCCAAGTCGTCGACAACAGCTCAGCGGTTGAACACTCGCTTCACAAGCAATAGATCGGTGGTTCGATCCCATGACCGATTGTTCACGCTTGGACAAGCTTAAGGGCTACACCCTCTTAACCCGAAGGTAGAGCTCCGGTCTGGAAAGCCAAATGCCGTGATTCGACCCCCCTCGGACCCCATTTTCGCTGTTACAGCACACCCACATCTGGATCAAGCTTATCGAGCAAGTTGTGTCAAAACAACTATGCGTCTATCAGGACGCTTGATCCTGAATCTTGTTCAGCACAACACGAAGCGCATGTTTGCTTCGGGACTAGGTCCTTAACATCATGAGGTCTCTTCACCTCCTACTCCCACTGCGAGCACCGCTCATACGTACGAGCTGGCTGCTGCAACCTCTGGTCAGACCCTGATCTCAACTACTGACCTGTTCGCTCCCCACTCTAGAGGGAGGCCCCCAGCGCCTAAGAATGTTGTTGCACGCCATGGTGGCGCTTCGGCCCAGGATGTGCCCGGTCGTAATCTTGCCGGAGAAAAACCTCCAACTACGATGTGTTCTGTGAGTGAGGGTAGCCCCTCCACTTCATCAAGAACTGGGTACGATCCTGACGTCTACGTCGCGCCACAAGGCGTTCCATGTGACAGTGGAGCTCACCATGCTTATCGAGCAGAGTGAGATGAGGTCTTGTCTTAGCTGATTTCTTTCGGAGAGAGTCAGCACTTGCCGGAATGGCGTCGGCGTCCATACGACACCGGCGTCCACAACGCGAACGCTCACGTTCACCGCTCATCGGTCGGTCTAAAAGAGATGATCCACCTTGTGGATAGGTTACTGTCACCCACTGCTGACGCACAGCCAGATCTCGGACCCTGAGCGTTTAGTCGGTCGGCTAAACGTTCGGCTAGCCTTGCTCCTGCATCTCCAGCGCTTTGCTCCGCGACCTGTGGCTCTACCATATTATGTTGATCAGCCTGCTGTGGGTCCACCACCTGCTGCCCTGTATATGTCCGTGGCCCAACCACCGTTGGCGTCAACGCCTCCGCGCTCACCTGAGCACGGGCTTGATATGGCTTAAGCAAGCCAACATAGAAGACCGGATGTGCGCGCATCTTTTTCAGACAGTTGGGCGCAAACGCTAGGCCCTTCCTGTCACCACTTTGAACCAAGGTCTCAACTTCGTCTTGAAGACTGCAGACAATGCATGAGTAGGTAGGTTTTTAGCTTTTAATACAACTTGGTCACCGACCTCAAACCTCTCAAAATTGCTTCTGCCCTTGGCATCTACATGTTCCTTCTGCGTGTCTTGGCTTTCAGCCATAGCGGCGCGCACCTGGCGCATTACGCTTAGTGTCAAAGAGACAAAGTCATCGGCTTACTTGCGAACTGCAACAGGGCTGACATCAGCTAGCCGCTCGGTTATCTCTCCCCCATCAAGCCCTGCGACACTGTGTGGCGGCGTCAGTGGGGCACGAGAATTCACCAAGCCGCTCACATAGAACGAAGTGTAGCCTGTCGATGCGTGCACTGCATTATTTAATGCGAACCCAACGAGTGGGGGCAGCTGGCTCCAGCGTTTTGGCGCCTCAGCGCATACGCTTCTGAGGGTATCCCCCACAACGCGCTTCACGCGTTCGGTTTGACCATCGGTCTGCGGATGGTCTGCTGTGGACATGTCCAAACCGAGAGCCAAGCACTGTGAAGAGGGACGTCCAGAACTTTGCGGTGAAGCGCCGGTCTCGATCCGAGACAATTGCCTCAGGCAAGCCATGTTGGCAAAAGAGTCAATCCAAACAAAGTTGTACCTTCACCATCCATGGTGTCCGACACCGCGGCTAAATGAGCCATCTTGCTCAATCGGTCTACAAAGACCACAATACCCGTGTTTCCCGCCTTATCTTTGAGGAGGTCAAGCACAAAGTACATACTCATGGACTGCCAGCATCCCTTGGGGACAGGCAAACTCGCCAATGGCGCTGCCTGGCTCGGCGTGGACTTTGCCCGATGACACGTCCCACACGTGCGTACATAGGTACCGATCCAATTATACATATTGGACCACCGCCCACCGATCCATAGGTCTTCGCCCGACCTAAGTTCCCACCCACGGGCGTATCATGAGCATTATTAAGGACTCGATGCTTTAGAACCTCATCTTAAGGAACGACTACACGAGGGTTATCGTCCGAATCGGTGCTGAAGTACAGCAGGCCGCCATCGAGCGAGTATCGATGCAGCCTCGCGCGTAAGCGCCCAGACTATTCCTTATAAGAGTCTTTAAACGTTTCGCAAACAAGGGCCCGTAGCATCGCTACGCACATGTCATCTTGTGCATACTCTCCGCGTATTAAGTCAGGCACTGACGACGTCACTGTCGTGACATGAGCTAGCTCGTAGCCCATCGTGCTCGAGAGCGCATTGGCCACTACATTAAGCCGCCCCGGCTAGTACTTCACCTCGAAGCTGTACTCGGCAAAGAAAGAAAACCATCTTGCCATTTTCTGAAAGAGATTAGGCGAGGCGACTGTGTCGCAGTACATAGCGCATCATGATCAGTAAACATCACAAAAGACTAAGCGCCTTGCAGGTGTACCCTGAATTGGATCAGTAAATGTCACAAAGGCTTAGAGCCGAGCCGGTGTACCCTGAATTTGACTAGGGCATACTTCATTGCATGTAGCAATTTGTCATGAACTCGATAGTTCTTCTCTGCAGCTTTGAGCTAGCGAGACTCAAATGCAATCGTTCACTTCCTTCGGCGTCTTCTTGTAGTAAAGCACAAACGATTGTAAGATCGGAGGCGTCACAGACGACGCCAAACGGACGATCCGGGTCCGGTAGTGCGAGGATCGGAGCCTGAAGGAGGCTCTCCTTCACAGCCTCAAAGGCTCCGGCGTGCTCGACATTCCAGCACCATGGTGTGTCCTTTTCTAGGAGATCTGACAACGGCCGAGCCATCTTTGAGTAGTTCGCGCTGTAACTGTGCAAATAATTGGCTAAGCCTTGCCACTTGCGTAAGTCTTTTTGGTCCTTGTGAATCGGCCAGTCCACGATAGCCTTGACGTTGGCATGATCTGCCACTTAGCCACGCTTCCGAATGAAGCAGCCGAGGAAAGGTATCTCCTCCGTATCGCCTCCGCGCCAACGACGCACTAGTCTAATTTGGCATACAGCTTAATAATGCGTATGCACTCGAGCACCGCTCGCACGTGGTCAATGTGGTTCTCCACGTCTGATTTGCGTGCTTAGCACGACTATGGACGAATAAATCGTGAAAATACGCTTGAGCGTACGTCGGGTGGGGCCTAACCAACTGAGCCACATGACGATTGAACGTTGCTTGTGCGTTCAACAGCCTCGGGGCATAACCAGCCGCTCCCAGAGCATACTGTTTAGAGTACGCACCGCGGTCAGCGGAATTTCGCTCGATCTCATGAGCAATTGGTAGTAACCAACGAGCTCGGCGTAGAAGTCCACTTGGGCGCTCAAGACAGATTCCTCCTCCGACGGCTCGCCCTTGTTGTCGGGTCGAGCGCGGAGACGGCGGATGGCGGTGCCCTTACCGGATTCTTTGGTCTTGGCCATGGTGAGTAGCGTGAAGAGCTGCGGCGGCGCGTGAAGAAGGCAACATATGCGGAAATACGAGAAAGACTGGATCTTGCCGTTTGGTTTGATGCTTCTTGACCTAGTCATGGACTGTCAATGGTTCTGTGATTTGCCAGGTGCGCTGGAGGTGGACACGGTTCGCCCTCGTTGACCAACGGTTTGTGACGAAGGCGCGGCACGGTCCCAGATCCGGCGACGGTGAAGTGTGAGTTACGGCGTGGACTCGCCCCGCCGCCGAGAAGTGACGGTGAACGATTCCCTTTAATGGTGATTGATGGATCTGGCCTGCCTGGATCGGCCTGGTGCCGGTACACACGCCTAACATGCCGGATTACGCTGCTTTTCGAACCACACGGTGATGATTGAGTTGTTTGTCGAAGCTACTGAATGGTGCATCTGGCTCGGCGGCGCGTTTGGTTGGAGCGTCGTGCGTAACCCGTGGACGGAAATTGCGTGGGCGGCGGCCGTCAGCCACTGGTCGGAGTTGCGTTGGGCCCTGAGCGGCGCCGTCGGCTGCATGATCACTAAGCCGGTGTGGTGTGCGTTGGGGCGGATCGTCGGCGCCGTGTCGGCATTCGAGGTCAAGTGGACCGGTCTGTGTAGGACGTGCGTCCGGTGCTACCGGATTTCCGCCGACTATGTGAGGATTGCGGAAAGCACTCCTGCGGTACGCCACTGGAGGCTGTACGAGGCGTTGTTCCAGACGCCGATTGTGGTGCTAGAGGATGAAGCGGTAAGCGAAGCCGGCCTTGGTCGACTTGTTCACCGCTGACGGGAAGCCTATCACGCCCTGTGGTGCGTGTTCCTACCCGACGTGCTCGAGCGGAGCGGCAAGGCTACGGTGAAGTATTGGATCGGCTCCGGCTCCTAGTGTTACCTAGCGATGGACCGTGGGTGCTGTGTTTTCCGCGCTTTCGCGTCGTCAATGGGATTGTTTGGCTACGCCGGTCTGTACATATATGAGTTTGCGAGTGGATTCGCTATGGAAGCTGCGGCGTCGGAACGCTACTACTGCTGGGAAACTACGTGCTGGCAGAAGGGCATTTGGGTGTCGACGGTGGAGTCCTCTGGAACGACGATATGGTGCTTGCTAGTGGTTCGACAGTCTTGCTAGTCACTACTAGTCGCCTACGGCGGAGGTGCGAACCTCCAGGGGCCGACGCACGCCGAAACAACTCGCCGAGGACAGGTACACCCGGTCGATGAAGGATCGTGAGGAGTAGGAGCAGGCCGAGCGTCTCAACAAAGCAGTTTGGAGAGCCGACGGCTGTGTGGGCCCAAGCCTAAAGTGCGACGGCTGAGCAAAGTGCGGGCATGCCAAGAGGCTCACCCTGCCCAAAAGGAGGCTGTTCAAGGTGTAACGGGTGATCGACGAGGACGTCAAGCTTCATAAGATGTGCTGTGTCGCGAGTGGTTCTGGGGGCCACCGTCTTGGGCACGCTGAGTTCCGTTATCCCCCTTTGCACTTCTCGACGGCTGATCAGATCCGTGCGGGACACGCGTTTGATGAAGCCTTGCAGAACCACGACGGTGTTTCCGAGAAGCTGTGGGCTGGTCTCGGTCTTCTTCGGCCGAGTGCGGCTAGAGCTTGCGGTCCCTTTTGATGACAGGGGCGGAAGGCATGGGGGACCGGAGCTACTGAATGACAGCGAATCGACGTGGTGCGGCGGTGGCGTATGCGGTACCGCCTCACCGTCGTGGAGGCCGAATCGCGGACAATGATGGTGAAACAGTTCCTGGCGGCGGGAACGAGAACCGTGGAGGACAAGGTGCAGGTCGCTAAGAAGAAGGAAAACAGTCAGTCGTGAAAACGCCTTGGAGCCGATAAGCGGAAAAGAACCTGGGTATTATATTTGGCTTTAGCTGGTTGTCTCCGTTAACGCTCCTACCGTTCTACTTCTATACAGCGTCGACCGTCCCATCCAAAGACGGCTTGCGACAGTTGATATAAGAAATTTGGTAATATTTATTGCAATACAGGAGTCATCAATAATATGGCATTTTGCTTAATTATTGCAATAAGCTACCTGGAATTTGATTTACTTACATTTTGTTAGGCACTGGGTAATGCAAAGTATTTTGCATAAGTGTAATAATTCTCGAAGGAAGACGATGCAAAATGAGTTATTCTGAAACAAAGCGCAATATTTTTTTTCAAACCTCCGAATCGCGGAACATTATTTGAAAGGTTGCTTGTAGCCGAAACCTGGTCATTTTGTCGACGTCCTCGCTATAGATTGGTACGTTTATCTTATCATAAATTAAGAAAAAAAGTTTTTTATTGAATTAATTGTTTTCACAATTGGTATGTATTTTCAGCCTGGAACGTTTATAAACCAATCCTTAGCTATCAATGCTAGCACATACGAAAGCTTAGGTTTATGAGGTTTATCATTGGCTATCGAGCGGAGGGAATGCGGCTTCAATTGGTTAAAACTGAAATATGTAGCTCACATCAATAAATTCATGCCATTATCCGAAGGCGGCATAGTTTTAATACTACGAAGTATTATAATAGTATTTAGTATTTTAATAATGCATGCTGCTTTTAATACTTGAGCGCTAAACAGACAGAGCTACTTATTCTCAAATGAAATACCCCTAAAGACGCTAACTAAGCTGCAAGGTGCTTAGCGTAAACGTCTGAATGCGTGCTTTCAAGGCCATACTATAACACACGTAATACTATATTGTTAATAGTTCTGCAAGTTAGACTAAAATAATAACTACTACTGTTTCGTTGTAGAAATATTAATTATTATCTGAGTGTGAGGTAACTGTCTGAGCTGCCATATTGTAGCACATGTACAACAGAAGCTGGCCCTAAGAACTGCCCGTAAGAACAGCGCTGTGCTAATAAACGTTGTCACTAGATCAATAAAGATAGAAACTTTTAGATTGAACAAAAAGAATTCATATGTGTTACTGCTGTAAATCATTGTTTTCTAAGAGTTCCTTAGACAGCAAAATCCGATACTAATTAGCTGGCGAACGTGTTCCCGACAGCGGCGTAGGTTACAATTAAAAACAAAATGGAGCGGCTTGACAACTGTTGATATGCACCGACACTGTACGGTTCGGCTTACCGGCGTGACGTTCCAAAATGAACCGGTCCCAAACCGGTTAGTCTTCTCGATGGCCAGGAGCACTGAAGTTTAGAGGACATATTTAATTGACTTTAATCTACTCACTTCGGCATTTGCCTTTAACAACAACAACAACAGGTTAACAGCCGCACTCAACTCTACCGGAACGTTCAAAAACGTGACGACGACCAAGCGCGCCGAAGTCCTCCTCGGGAATGGGAGCTATTTTTACTGGGAGTACAATATGCGCATGAAGCTAGCCAGGAAGGGCCTGCTTGCGCATATTCAAGCCGTCAAGCCGGAGAACGAGATCACCGAGGCGTGGCTCGTCAATGATGCCAAGGCGCTCAGCATCATCGCTCAGGGAGTGGAACTCCAGCATCAGACCAAGATTCGGTCGGCCACTCGTTCCATAGAAGCGGGGGGAACGCTGCGAGAGTTCTACAACCGCACCACGCTCCATAACCGCGTGACGATGACGCGTAGCCTCGACGAGTTTAAGATGGAGAGTGGATCGTCTATGGCCAAGCATCTGGATGCGCTTGATCATCTGGTCGTCGGGTTGCAGACGCTGGTAGAGCCCATGGACGAGGCACGCCAGCTGGTGGTGCTGCCGAGCAGCCTCCCTGTTGAGTACGAGCTCATTTTGTCTATCGTGGAGAATGCCAAGGAATGTGACGCTCATTGAAGCCAAGGAAAAGCTGTTAACGGAGTACGAGCGACTCGACAAGGAGAAAAACCACGGAGAAGGCGCTCCAAGTGAATGGGAACGCAGGCAAGTTCCGGAACGGCCGCGGGAACGGTCAAAAATTGAACGATCGAAAATGGAACGATCCGAAACGGAACGTTGGTTTCAAGGGCAAGTGTCACAACTGTGACCAAGTGGGTCACATGAAGCGGGACTGTCCTGCTACGAAGAAGAGCAGTCAAGACGATGCAGTGTTTGTAATTGGTGGGAAACGCGCGGCCGGGTGGCTGATTGATAGTGGTGCGACGTCGCACATGACCCCTCACCGGAACAGCCTATTTGGGTACGAGGCACTAGACAGTGGCATCAACGTGACGATTGCAGATGGTAAGAACTAGCGCGTCGCAGGAGCCGGAACGGTCAAGTTGACTGGTTTGGACGGTAAACGCATCCGAATGGTGGACGTGCTCCACATTCCGGGGCTCGATAGACGGTTATTGTCGGTCGGGAAGCTCGCGGAACGAGGCATGAACGTGGAGCTCCAGCGTTCCAGTTGTGTAATTTGGAGACGGAACGCTGCGATAGCGTCAGGGGCGAAGATCGGTAAGGCGTTCCTGCTGAACTGTCAGCAGGAGGAGGCACACTTCGTGCAATACGGCGGTCCTGACAGCAAGTAGGAGCTTTGGCACGCTCGCATGGGTCAACCTAACAAGGACGCGCTGACGAAGACTCAACGTTCCACAATTGGTATCCCACATGTGAAAAATGGGAACGAGACTTTGTGCGGTAGCTGAATGAAGGGAAAGCAGACCGTGACGACGTTCCCGTCACGATCGCTAACGAGAACGACGCGTGTGTTGGAACTAGTACACACGCACGTAATGGGTCCAATGAGAACGATCTCGAAGGGTGGTGCCAAATATGTTCTGACGTTCGTAGACGACTACTCAAGGTTTGGCGTTGCGTACTTTATGAAGCACAAGAGCGAGGTGGGCAGTAAACTGAAGGCGTTCAAAGCATTGTACGAAACCCAGTGGGGGGAACGTCTAAAATGTCTTCGTTCCGATAATGGAACGGAGTTCGTGAACAAGCCAGTTTTGGAACTATGCAAACGGAACGGTATCGTGCATCAGCGTAGCGTTCCATACAGCCCTCAGCAGAATGGAGTGGCGGAGCGCATGAACCGTACCATCATGGAGCAGGTAAGAAGCATGCTGCACTACAAGTCTATGTCTACGCAGTGGTGGGCGGAAGCGGTTAGTACTGCAGTGTATCTCATCAGCCGTTTCACGAAGTCATCAAACCCTAATGTCACACCGTACGCGTTGTCGTTTCAGGAGAAGCCACGGATGGAACACCTACGTGTATTTGGATCACAAGGGTACGCTCATGTGGACGATGCGATGAGAACGAAGCTGGAACCCAAGAGCTTCAAGTGCACGCTCCTCAGATACGCTGAGAGCGTAAAAGGATATCGTGTGTACGACATGGACGCGTCGAAGGTCACGGTGACACGGTCGGTCAAGCTGGACAAGCGGGAGGTGGGCGGAATCTATGACACGCAGTCGCCAGCTTCAGGAACGGTCATCCATGTGACGAGAAACGATGATACGATCGTTCCGATACCTGGCGTGGAACGTCAGCCTGCTCAGGATGAACCGATGGAAGACGCAGAGGAGCCTGCTCAGGACATTGAGATGGACGACCTTGAACCGGAACTGAACGCATAAATACAGCAGCTACCCGCGCCGGAGGGAACCAGATTAAATGGGTTGGTTTTGGCAACGTTTTATTCGCAGTCTCCATCGTCCCATGAGGACCGGAAGATTTTTTATCCTGAAACGGAACGATCTACGCGCCCTCGTGAACCGTTATTTTTACTTGGTAGCGGTGACGAGGAAGATGTGGAACGTGGAAGTGCTGGGACGCCATCTCCTAAGCGTGCCAGAATCGACGAAGATGGTTTGCTCGCAGTGACAGTGTTGGCGTACGCGGCCA